ATGTATATGTATATATATGTATATGTATATATATATTTATGTATGTGCGCGCGCGCGTGTGCGTGCATGTATATTATAAAATTTTAAATTGCCTACATTGTAATTATTGAAGCTTATGTCGGTTGCAAATTGCACGGAGGCTGCCTTGACATGCACCTCATACCTGGTAAGGAATATGCCCCCTTAGGCCAAGAAGAGATGCACATCTCATTGTGTTTTGTGTTGACGCAAGACTCGAGGCAGTTGCAAATTTTGCAGAGGCATGCCTGCACATGCACCTCATCCCTGGTGAGGAATATGCCCCATTAGGCCAAGATGAGATGCGTAACTCATGGTGTTTTGAGTTGAGGCAAGCCTTGAGGCATACTACTTACTGCATAATTGTACACAATAGATTCATCTATTTTTTTCTAAGCTCCTTGTCATTTATTAGTAATAAAGGCGATCTGATGCAATATGCATCAGATCAAGATGTACACAGCAAGAAAGCACCATTGAATCCATGGCTTAAGGTTGCACAATTTGAAAAATAAATCTCCTGAAAAATCAGTGGCATATTTCCCCACATCATTAGTTTTCATAGCAATATTATTCAGAGCAAAAAATTAAGGTACAAAATTTTGCTATTAATTTTAATCACATATAAGTGCAAGGAATTTAACAGCATCCAACTGGGCATTTTAATCACAGGAAACAAAGCATATAGATATAAAATAAATGGGTGCCCAAATGAGTCATTTCACCTTTCCGTCATATATTTCATCTTTGTGATTGACATCAATAGACCCCGAAGCCATAACACTAACTGGATTTGCAGCTGCAAATAGTCTCATCAAATCAAAAAAGTGGCAGCATTTCTCAACCAAAGTTCCACCAGTGTTAGCATTAAATCTGTTCCAATTATTTACCTGTGCAATTCTTGAATTAGAAAGCTAAAAAATCTAATATTATCAAGATATAAATGTTGAATAAATAAGCTAAACAACTAGAACTATAAAAAGTTAAGAAAATAAACGGAAGACATTTATGAGCCTTGGGTGAAAAGGAATATACATGACTGGCCATGACAGACTCTAGTTGAGCTTAAAACAGACACAAGACATGGGCCATGACAGACTCGAGTTGAGCTTAAAACAAGCACAAGACATGGGCCATCTTAGCCTAGTAACTTTTTCTATGCAAAAAAATTTTGGGGGCATTCACAAACGTACCCCTCAATTCCTATGTATTTACATATCTAACACCAAACGTTACTTTTTAGAATTATACCACCCAAATCTTTCATATCACATCAAAAATATCACCATTTCTCTTATACAAGGTGAAATACACCTTTTCATGTATGGGTAAGGTGGCATGTAAGTAAACGTTGAAGTTTAGGCGTTAAATAGATAAAAACATAGGAATTGAGTGGTACGTATGTAAAGCTTCCAAAAATATTTGATTAGATCATTTGATGTTAAATTTTCACTGAGAAAATGCTCTCCATCCAAATATTGCAAATATAATGAAGCATTGCTTGCGTAGACCAAAATCAACGTGATTATTTTTCAAGCTTCTATCACTCATTTTGATCTTTTTTTACCATCATAGAACCCATTGAACTGATGAATAATGCACTATTCACATTAAAGTCAACTGTACCTTAACCAAAAAAGGGAATCGATGTTCACGGATCGACACCATTTTGATTTGTCCAATTGTTCCGCTTCTAACTATCTCGATTAGTTTAGCTACTGGAGGCATATACCTGTACTCCAAGCCAACTTGAACTAATATCTCCGGCCTTTTTGCAGCTGCTTTCACAACCTACAATAGAAAGTAGTATCATATCAAACAACACTAAGTCCATATATGGATGACAAGTCATAAGCGCTGATTTAGAAAACAAATATACGAAAAAAAAATTATCATTAAGTATTTACACTGGAATGCCAAACTGCAGGCACCAAGAACCACCTTTGAATCAATTAAGCCCACTTTTTTAATAGTAAGAAAAATGAAGTTACAATAAAAGGTATAAATTTAAAGCAAATGAAAAACTTCTAAATGAAAGGTTAGCTCCAATATGGAAGGTTTCATTTTGAAGGACTACTGCTAAATGAAGTCCAACTTCAGATAAACAAGGTCGAATAGGCAAAATGGATATCATTGAAAAGAAAAATTTAAACTTATCTAATAAACACAAATAAATTCAAGAAAAATAAACTTTTCTTTCTATTAAAAACGAACAATCTTAAATAAATCCAAATAAAAGTGAAACAATATAACAATTAAGCTAAAATATTTTCTTAATGACTTCTTTTATGATACACATCAAAAATAAGAAAAAGAAGACAATGAATGTGACAGTTCACACTCTACGTTTAAAATTATCAATATTTTGAGCAAATAGGCTAAATGTCTTTTCCTTTGCTTTCATTCCAATAAATAATAGTTTGTACAATTTATTTTAGGTACATATTATTCTGTATAATCTATTTTAGGTAATTTAATTAATACATATTTCTAATCTAAATGTTCAGCTAAAAGGAAAGAATCATGTGCAAATATAATATTTCCTTCTTTGCAACATTGCGAAGAAGTAAACTCTTTATTCTCCCTGATTTCATTTATTCCTGATTGATATCCCCAAATTGATGGTGGCTGATCAAGAAACATCAATTTGCCGACAAGAAACTGATGACATTGTCGAGAAAAACCCTTAGTAAATATATCAGCCGTTTGAAGATCAGAAGTGGTATGAGGAAGAGATATAACACCATTCTCATAGGCTTCTCGAATGTAAAGATAGTCCACTTCAATGTGTTTCGTGCGCTAATGAAAGACTGGATTAGCAGCAATCTGGATAGCGCTAGTATTATCTGCATGAAGAGAAGTAGACTCAAGCTGAGGAAAACTAAGTTCATCCAACACACCCCGAAGCCAAATGATCTTGGAACAAGCTGAGGACATAGTGCGATATTCTGATTCAGTAGATGACTTAGACACTCAACCTTGTTTCTTGTTCTACCAAGAGATTAAAGAGTTGCCGAGAAACATGCACCATCCAGTAATAGATCGGCGTGTATCAGAACAACCAGCCTAATCAGCATCACTATAGACTGTTAAGGTGATAGGAGACTCCGCAGAAAAAAAACAAACCACGATGAGAAGTACCTTTAAAATATCGAACAATACGTCGAACTGCAGCTAAATGGAGATGTGTAGGTGCTTGTATAAATTGACTAACTTGTTGCATAACAAATGAAATATCAGAACGCATAATAGTCAGATAATTGAGACTGTCAATCAGTTGTTGATATAGAGATGGTTCAGATAGAAAGTCACCATCATTCTGTTGATATTTGACATTTACTTCCAAAGGAGTATCAGTGGAGCGGCCATCTTGAAGACCAGCCAAAGCAATGAGTCCCTTCATATAGTTGTGCTGATGAAGAAAAATACCAGCGGTAGAAGAGTGAACCTCGAGTCCTAAGAAATAAGTTAATGACCCTAAATCTTTCATATGAAAAGAACCCTGAAGACGTTTTTATAGCTGAGACATCAATTGATTGTCAAATCCTGTGATGATAATATCATCAACATAGACTAATAACAAAATAATTCCCTTCTCAGTTTTGCAAAGAAATAATGATGAATCATACTGACTTTGAATAAAAGAGAAGCTGAGAAGGGTATTGCGAAATTTTTCAAACCAGGCCCGTGGAGCCTGTTTCAAACCGTATAGGGACCGTTTGAGCTTACAAACATCATGTGAAGGT